CCTTCTCTCTGCAGGATTTTCAACATCAGCAGCGGCAAACAGAAAAAACTCTACAAAGGATCTTTGAGTGAAGATGGAAGTCTGCTCAGGGTAACATTTTTCTCCACAGTTGAAACACCTTTTTTCTCTCTGTCTGTATATATATATATATATATACACATATATAGAGAGATATAGATATAGATATATAATTTATTTGTATTTTTCAACAGAAGGCCTAAAGGGGACATAGTAGATTTTGGTCATAGGTAAATATGCTCTAAGTTCTTAAAGAAGAATTTGTCTATTGTATTTGTTTTTCTGACTGTCTAATTGTTGTGCAGTCCAAACAATGTGAATTCGAAATCCTGTGATAACCAGAAAGTCACAAAACCTCGTTTCCCATCTCCCAAAAGGTACTCATCTTCCTCCCCCTGAATTAACCATGTGGTAAACTGCAGGTGTTCATTTGCATTGTTCTAATGTTATTTTTCCTATGTCTCCTCTGTATTGCTGCTGTTGCTAATGGCTCTTAGCCAGCCCAAATCTTACAATTACAAAGAGGTATTGTTAATTTGCCATCCATATGTTCCTCATAATTAAGTTCACTGATGCTATCAATATCTGTGACACTAACAAACTTCATCTCTCACAGGACCCTGATGAAGGTGATGACTACATTAATACTGCAGACCTCAACATCTATGGAAACATCTGAAAAACAAACAAAAAAAGAAGAATAAAAGCCAGCAATTAATGTTCTAATAAATTTAAACAAGTATAAAACAAATCTATGTGCACTCTTTATGATCACTTATCCTTGGGATTTCTCGTGCATGTTTCTTGTGATGATGTCTTCTGTCCATTAATTACTATAATCCTGTAATTTATGTTTGTGTGGTGTAACAAATGCTTGTATCCATAATTCTGCAAAATAATATTTGTAAAAATGCTACTCATGTTTTGGCTGAATAAATCAACATGAACCTTTTTTTTAAATGACTTGAATGCTGTTTTGTTTGGCCCCAGGGTTTGGCTGAGGGAGTCCCTTTTTAAATCATCACTGCTTTTGTATATATGATGTAATTTCACCATGATTTCATATTAAATTACCTAGATTTTATAATTCTTTTAATGTGCACATAGAAGGGAGCATAGAGAAAATTAATAAACAACAGTTGGCTAAAACAAGAGATATTGAATGCCTTGGTGAAAATGTCAAAGAACGAATCAAACAGCCTAAGAGAGGAGTGAATGTTAAAATTAGAATCAAATCTTAGAGATTAAAATGCAGATTGTATCAACTAACCCCCCCCAAACAATTTCCAAACTAAGTTAAGCTAAACTAAACAGCTGCTGGCTCCAGTGCTATATTTGTCTAACAGTTAGGGTGGGGTTTTTTTTTTTGTCTTACTCTGGGCAGTGTTGTGACAAGATAACTAACAAATGTAAGGTTCACCCACCACACCCCACCCCACCACAACCACAAACACCAGCACCACCATGCATCTGCACAAAGAAAACAAAACTGACTTCTAAAAAATTATGATCTCTCTCAGTTCCTTCAGTGCAAGCATAAAATTAGCCACTTCCTCCAACAATTATGAGAAGTTCCTCAAGTTACTCAAGAAGTTGGACTGACAAGTTTCACAAAGACAAGTCATACTTATCACCCTGAAGAGTTTAAAAGTGTAACTTATAAATTACTTATAAGTTACACTTATCGCATAAATCACACTTATCACACAAAGGGACATTTTGGGTTCTGGTCATATGTATTTATGAGCAAGAAATTTAAAAGACTTAATGTTTTTCTAACTGCACATTTGCACAATTGATTTTAAAAACCTTTTATCACAAGAAGGTCAGTGAGAAAGAGAACAAAGTGATAGTAACTGTAATTATTCAGTTATGCTTTTTTAAATTAAAATTAAACGCTTTTTAAATTCTGTTGTTTTGTTAAGAAAATAACCACAACTTTAATAGTTTATTCAACATGACACACACCATTAGGTTTTAGAGCTTTTCCCCACTTGTGGGTGGAAAATCATACCCTCCGCCCACACTGGGTGCTTAAAAAGCTGCATTTTTAGTGTTACTTGTATCTTCATGACTATTCATCTGTGTTGGTAAGTAAATCACTATTTTTTTTTCTTTTTGCTGAAGTAATATCAACAGATGTTTTTTTTATTAGACAAAATTTGTTCAGAAAAAGAAACTCAGAATTGTAGTTTAAAAATGTAGCATTCTCCATTTCTCCATTTTACAAAG